CCACTTAGTGAGGCACAGGGTAGCACAGGAACTGGCACGGAGGCATCCAGCAGCATGGCACGCAGCACAGGGAGACAGTCAGCAGAGGGGTCAAGTGGCCAGAGGACAGGCAAAGGGCAGGAGGGGCAAGTGGTGGAGGCAGGTTGTGCGGGGGTCAAGTGGTGGAGGAGCAGGCACTGAAGTGGGAGGTCAAGCTCTGTGGGAAACAAGTGATGGGAAGTAGAGCCAGGCTGTCTGCCACCCCCTGTCACTTGCACCGGTGCTTCTGCTTTCCTTGCTGCAGCAGTGAGGGCGATGAATTTAAGATGACCCTCCAATCATTAGATTCTACTAATGTATAATTTTCCATGTATAGAATATAAAGATTGGAGGGTTGTCTTAAATTTGACAACATCTTGAATTTGAGTAAATACCATATATGCATTATTATATCTAAACAGAAAAAAATACATATATTTGCAGTATTTCCAACTTGCCTGGAATCAAAAGGTATTAAAATCCCACAGTTCCAATCTGGTTTTGCAAACTCGAGAGCTTCAGTTAGGTAAGCCGCTGAAGTAGTACTTGCTACTTGTGTGTCTGTCCAAACAGAACCTGCTTCCAAACCCTATGAGCTCTGGCCATTACTAGCTACTGTGACGCACACAGTCATTCCCCAAAACAGGTTGCAATCAAATAGTAGGTCATGGTTGAAGGGCACTCAATGGGCAGCAACTCTTCAAAATATCTGAAGTATTTTACAGACTCTGCAGCTTACTCACTCCAAAAGCTATGACTACGTTTGCTCCATCCATCAATGAGCAGTTGTTAGTCATCAATGGGAAACTGTGGTCATGCATCCAACAGGGAATATTTCCTATAGCACTTGCACAATTCTAGCACACAAGCAAATGAAATGACCGTCTGAACTTGTTGGAATAAGATATTACAGTAGCAAAGAAAAGGATGGATTATGATTATAAGCTCTCTGGCACATTTCAGACAATACAAAAAGTTGGGACAAATAGATGTTGCAAATCTTAAAGTAATAATGAAATCAGGACCTATTTTAGTAGAAAATAAAGAGTTATTTTTTTTGTTATTGTTTCAACATATCCTTTTTTAATAATAATAAAGGTGGCACAATAACAGAAATTGGATCTTATACCCTAAAGTCAATACTAATACGCATATGATAGCAAGAAAAGGAAGGATCATAAAAGAAGGGTATTTTCAATAACATTAGAAAATTAATCCTACCTTTCACCGTGCTTGTGGAATTGTTTCCGTATTCCTGCTGCTTTGGCTTTAAAGACTGTGGTGCTGGCAGCCCAGGAGTCTGTGGAACTTGGAATAAAGGTTTCCCATTTGTAACCACTTGTCTCCTGGGACTTAAAGCAGGGAGGTGGATGGTACCATCAGTGATGTTGCTCTGAGGAGCGGCCCCTCCTCCCAGGGGCATCTTTAAATGTAGGCTGGAAGACAAGTTTCCAATAGCTGGGCTTGGGGTGCTACTATTCGAAGATGGACAGGGTGTTCCCGCTTGAACTCTGATTGGTGGAATCTGCTGTCCATTGATCATCCCAGGTCCATGGGGAGTACCTGATGTGCGGTGGCTCATACTGCATGACCTCCCATTCATTGTCAGGCAGTTGCTAAGTTCAAAATGTGTTTTTCAAATCCACCAATATCAATGTCATCAGTCCAAGGTCAGTAAGTAATCCATAGTGCATTAAGTCTGTTAAAAAACAAATTTATAAAGTTAATTATATTGTAATAAATAACACATAAGGACAAGACTGTGCACAGTATTTTTCTACATGAAAAAAGTATTGATTGTGAGCAGCAAAGTATGAATAATAGGGTAAATAAAAAAGGCAAAGCTAAGTACTGACTTAGAATCAATAAGGAGAAAACTTGCCCCTTCAAGAGCAGAAGTTTACACTAAGGTCAGCTGCATTCACATCATCTAAATCAGCCATGAAATGGAGCAAATGTTGAGGCAGTGAAGGAAAGCAGCCTGGAATAAAAAAGCAGCCACTGGGCTTGGACAGACAGTCAGTTTCTCCATGGAGAGTCCCTGCTCTCTCTGGAGAAGCAATGAGTGTACAGAACTTGGTATTTTCTTGCCCAGAGTGGCCACTTTGAGAAAAAAATAACTCGGGAACAATCCAAGTGAAGTGCCTCCCTGGAGAATCTCTCACGGCAGAAAGAATTCTGCACAGGCAACAGAGGCAGAGCTGACCTCCGCAATCTCAGCCTGCTTTGCTTCTTTTCTCCCCACTCCCATAGCAGGAGGGAAAGTTGTGTCAGTCTCATCCAAGCAGTGAGCAGAATATGCTCCATGAGTGCTTCAGGCTGGAAAAACCCAGTGCTGAAGCACTTCAGGGGTGTGTTCTGCTCCCGGCTTGTTCCCTGCCTAAATCACAATGAAGCATTTGGGTGTAGGGGAGCACACAAGCATATGCCCTACCCAGCCTTAGCTGGGCTCCAACACAGGATAGAAGAGGGGAAAGGCTGCAGGACTCTTCTGTGCATGGCACAGACCCTTGCCAATCCCTGTCTCCCTTCACTTAAAAAAAAAAAAAAAAAAGCCTGCAAAGCTCTCTGGGTTGCATGCTCTAGGGATCCCTAACAGGCCACGCTGTCTGTACTGCAGGGTCTTTGCTTCTCTGTCTGAACTTCTGTACTGGTCAGTTTTTCAGTCAGGAAAACAAACCTGGAAGAGTTGTCCTAGATGATTTGAATTGTGTGTATGCAGCCACTGACTGAAAGTTGCCACCAAAATGAACATCACTATTCCTAAACTATTCATTAGCAATATGGTGAAAAACAAACAGAGCACCCAGATATGAAAAAAATCACGTTCACGTTCTGAGGTTGATAAAAATAACAAAATAAGATTGGGGGGGGAGGAAGGGGAAGGGGCAGAACTCCAGCAGACTCTTCGAGATTCCACTATGAAAAACAGAGTAGAGCAATGTTCCTAGAAGAAATTTCAGTAATTCAAATCCGTTAAGTAAATTTACACATATAGCCATTCTAAATTATAACAAATTATAAGGCCATATTTTCAAGACTCCCTTTAAATTGTGCCCATAATTTTGGTAGCACTTAAGTCAGGGGTTGGCAAAATGGCAGATCTGGCCAGCGGCTGGACTCCATTTCCCAGCAGCCCCTGCCCACCTCGCTGTAGCTGGTTTCCATGGAGAGCCCCACAGCAACAGGGCATGACAGTGCAGGGCCAAGGTTCCCATAGAGACTGGCCCCATAGGCACCAGCAGGGCACACAACTGGGCAGGGAGCAGCTCCATGGCTGGGGCTGGGATCTTGCAGTGGTGACAGTGTGGTCCAGAGCCAGGGTAGAGCCGTGATCCGCTGCCTGCACATCCCTGCCTGAGGCGTGTGGGCAACAGATCACAGTTCTGATCCGGCTCCAGACCATTCTGTCACCACTGCAAGATCCCGGCCCCAGAGCAGCTTCCCACGCATCCTGCCTCCATGGAAACCCTGGCCCTATGCTGTCACTGCCCGCTGCTGGGGTCTCCATGGAAACTGGCCACAGCAACATGGGCAGGAGGTGCTGGGAAATGGACTCTGATGCAGGACTTTTCCCACTCCTGGTTTAAGTGATGCCATTGCCAGGATGGTCCAGATTGCCTATCCCAATCATGTAGTTGGTCCAATAAAAGATAACACCAACAAGAATTTTGCAACTCATAGTCTTTACCAGAGGGTTTTTTCACTTAAATTTTCATGTCATGTTTACTCATTTATATACATCCACAGAGTGGTAGAGAGAAGCTGCATTTGTGAGTATAAATTATAGATGGTTACGATATCAAACAAATGGCATAATCTAGGCCCCAACTCAGCAAAGCACTAAAATGCATACTTGATTTTAATCAACAGATTCATTCATGTGGTTAAAACAAACCACATTTAAGCATTTTGTTGATTTAGGAACCGGAGGTCTAATTGTCCTGTTTGCACAAACAAGTGAAGTTTGTATACAAATCTGATGTTAAATGTACAGATGTATTTATATTCATCTATTCACCCAGGGCTCTGTCTTAAGAATTTTGACCATGAACCAAGAAAACATTTAACTCTGTGTGTAATCAAATTGAAACTAATACAAATCAGGGCCAAAGGGTTCATGACAGAAGTCCAGGGGCCTACTTCCCTGTTTAATGTGATCCTGCAGTGCCCTACAATGTTTGAACACTCCACCCATGATCTAAGGAAAAATAACTAAACATCATGCACTCAACTGTTGTAGAAAATTTCGTTCATAGTGTTCAGCCCTGCTAGGATCAAGGTGGTGTAAGTGGTATTTACACACATATATATTCATGTCCATACTCACTTCTATATAGTGTGTGTGAATACATGTGTGTATGTGTGTGTATTTATACACACAGACATAATTTATATCTACACATATTATTTATATGTATGTACGTGTGTGTGTATATACATGCATGTATAGGTATCTGTGCATATGTGTATATATATATATATATATATATACACACACATATGTATACATACCACTATTTATATTTAATAATGATTATATTTATATATTATGTTTTATTACATGTTACATGTATTTAATCATGAAGAGCTTCGTCCTATTTACATTCAAAGACAATAGCAAAAATTCTGTTGACTTCAGTGAGAACAATAGGCACTAATTCCACTTCAGTATTATTCTAAATATTTATTTTTCATTGTTAATTTTTTATATTACAAGAATATAATTAGAAAATATGCTGATTAAAAGCAATATCATTATTTTCATGCATGGCTGCAGCATAAATCACAATTTACAATTCAACCAAGGACAAAGCTAAATGTTCTTATATTCCCAGGGTTTGTTTTAGCAAGCAGAATGTACCTTGCCTTAACACAGGTGACTGGTTCTTTAGAAAAGAACATATAAACACAAGTAATCATTCTACTGGCAAGGCTGTACACTACAGCATTATAAATCAGCAGCAAATCAAAATCATTCTTGTCTTTAATTTTTAACTACATTAGAAAAGCGCAAACATAATAAAGAAAAGATTATATGTGACAAGTTTATTGGTTTGTTCAATAACATTGGATTTAGATTAATTGACAGAAGAATATTTCTTCATCCTATATAGACCTACTGGGTCCTATCAAATCCAGCTCCATATGCAACTCATATTTTTAAATTCTCTGGATTCCTTGTTATTTCTGTTAAAGTATATGCTCTAAAAAAGAACAATAGTATTTTTGTCCTACTGCCTCATAAGCTACTATTGTTTTTATATTGAAGATATTTTACTGTACTAAATTATATTTCACTAACTGCCAAGTTAAAAGTTGAACTCACCAATTTTAGTTGTACTTAGAGATACGTTTTCTCCTTTTCTTATATATTCATATGAGCTACATTTAATATAACTTTTCTGCAGTCTCTTCCTCAGGTTCCTCCTCCTCTGTCTGTAGCAGGTACTTACAATACCACTTTATCATAGTATCTGAGCATCTAACATTCAGTAACATATTGACCCTCACCAAACCTCTACAAGGTTGAAAAGTGCTTTGTTATCCCAATTTTACAGGTGGGTAACTGAGGCACAGAGAGACAAAGTCCAGCTCTGTGAAGATACTTAGGTACCTAACTTCTAGTTATATTTCTTTCAATTGGAGTAAGATACCTGAATACATTTTTCAGTTTGGACATAATGGACGTACACAAAATCAGCCAGAAAATACATACCATGATAAAAAACTGAAGTGGTGGGCCCTGAATTCAGGGTTAGTACCCAAACCACTAAACTGTACTTTTTCCCCTTTCATTTCTGAAGAGTCTAGCAGGTCCACTGATTCTCCTTTAAGGTTCTACTTCTGTCTTTGTCTATTTGCTCTTAAAGTTCCCTTTTAACCTTCTAGTTGCCACCTTACATTTTACCTGACCTAGTACAATGTTCTTTTCTATCGGCTTCATTGGGGTTGGATTTCCATTTTCTGCAGGCTACCTCTCTGGTTTGAGTAGCCTTCTGAAATTAAGCCATCCATCCATAACATTTTTTTAAGTTTTCCTCCCTTCTTTTCTGATGTGAGGTTATGCCACTGTTTGGAAAAGTTTTATGCATCTCCCATGGTACATCAGTGAATTTTAAATCTCTTTACTTTAGAATATTTTTAACTACCTCCCTTCATCTCCATCTTAATTAATTTAGTGGTCATTATTATTCAGTCACTCAACTAAACTTAAATATTGAACCAAACCATGTGTGTCGACTGGAGAAGAACATCTCCTCTTGTGCACTCCTGAACCAGTTGTTCCAAAAATATTTATACAGCTGAGAAATTGCTTCTCTAGACCTTGCCTTATTGCTAACATTTGACCAGTTTATGTCTGAATAGTTTAAGTCACTGATTAATAGTAATTTCAACAGTGATTTTAATAGCTAGTCTACATACTAAATGGAATCAAAATATCTATGAGTTGATACTTAAACCCTTTGTGATTTTAGTTTAGGTTTGTGTGTAGTCACTGTTATTTTAGAATGTGTGCCTTTTTATCATTTTAGCTAAACTGGTAAAGAATTAACTAAATTATAATAATATAAAGATGTTCCTAGACTGAAATAAGGAAGTACACACTGGGTGCATCTACATGTGCAATTAATGCAAAGCAATAAACTCCAAAGCAGTTTGAGCTGGAGTAATCTACTCTTGGACACAGCATCTACA